ATATATATGCATATGCATATATGCACAAGCATAGACTGTAAGTGCTTCATGCAAAAATGTGGCGGGATGCTCCTACACGCTAAAACATAGTTATGCCAGGTCCTTCAATCCAAGGCAGCTTACTTACAGTTAATACCCATTAAGTGTTTGATAAGTGCTTGCCAGTTTTTTTGGAGATCACTAGAGTGATCGCTCGCCACCTCGTGGGTACCACCCACTAATACACGATTACAACCCGCTGCAAGCAAGGAGAGCAACATGTCATGCCTATCAACTTGATTCTTTTTCCGCAAGCTCACGATGATATTCTATGCATCACTCATCTGACATAGGGTAATCGCAAAGAGGCACAACAAGCATCCTTTTATTCCATCGCTCCCTCTGACGGGGCCAGCGCCTGTAGTTACTAAAAGTTAAAACTAAATTCGTTTTTTGTCCGATTTCGTTCCAGCAAAATAAATGAATGTATAATTTTGCTGCAATTAAATTTTATCTACGAAAAACGGAATCGGACAAAAATTAGTGAAGCAACGATTTATTGCTAATCGTGATGGCAAAATCAGGTTTAAAATTATTTTGCTAGAAGTTTTCCGCATTATTTCACCTTAGATGCTGCATCTGGACGTTCATAAACCCAGGATCGGACGAACGATTCTCTATTGGCTCCAGCAAATTTGGAATCATACTCGACCAGTTGCTGCAAACTAATCTCACTGATATCTTTGATCAAAAAATTGTGCGCCAAGCCTGCAAAATTAGAAACCATTAAATGAAACCAAGAATATTTTTGTAACCATTGATTTTCATCACAACGAACAAATAATCAAAAGGAAGATCAGTAAGTGCTCAATTCAAAAGACAGCTGAAAGAGCATATTTTCACAGGTTTTGAGGACACTAACCTGAAAGCTTAGAAAAGTCGATGTTTGTGACTTGCACTTTCTGTGCCGTCCAAGACACTTTCTTGTTGAAACCAAGTTTTTCCTCATAAACGGGGGCCATTGATGGTTCTATAAAAAATCTTAACTTTAGGAGAAGGCTCAGTAATAAATCAATAACAGTATGCGCCGAAAAGCCGATACAAGCAACCATTCCTTGCACGGTTTCATTAAACAGATGCTTGACGTGGAACTGAAACAGCATAGTTGCAACTAACAGCCAAAATAGTAAGTGCCCTCGCTTTAGGCCAGAATAGAACGTAGAAATGATTTGTACTATACCCTCAAAGCTTGTCTGGTCATCAAGACACACATACACGCACACAAGCACACACACACACACTCACACACACACACATATACAACACGTGCACAACTGCTGCTTTATCAACACGCGCAGCATGGCATGCTGGTAATTTTAACACTTCTTGCAGAGAGGTGTTAAAATCACCAGCAAGGCATGGCAATAAATCCTGCCGATTACTTTTAATGTTACCATCGGAAACATCAGAATTTACCGCTATGGCAATCTGCTAGCAATGTAAGGCCCTAAGATAGTGAAAACTCACCTGCATACAAACCAACATTTCCCTCTTTCACTTTATTGTTAACCACCAAATTAAAGAGCTGTGAACCAATTCCACGGCCGCGAAATTCCGGACGCACGTAATATGCAGCAACGAAAGCATAGTCGGGAAAGAGAAAGCATATGCAGGATCCAGCATATACACCTGCTGCAAAAATACAGCGCATCGGTTCATCATCGAATACCAGCAGGATATGGGGGAACGCTTCTCCGAAAAGCGATCAAAAATTTTGCTTTTTTTTAAAGAGTCTATGTGTTTCTGAATTGCGGTAAACTAATTTCACGTATCCTTATTTCAAACGACGGGTTTTGATCAGTCACGTAAAATGCAGTTTTTCGTCAGAAAAAGTTTGGATATAGGCGGTCACTAGAAAAGGCTTGGATAAAGACCTTCAGCGAAATCGTTGAGCACTCCATTTTTTGCCTGGTGAGTATTATTGTACTAGAATTTTATCTAATGTACCCGTTTTATAGGAAATGAGGCCCAGAAACCGTAGAAATGTATCAAACCATCATGGGAGTTCATCCGCTCCTTCATGTTATCACGTTTGAATGATATGACATATGGACTGCCGGCAACGCTATATCTCTTTCGTTACCCTTATCACTTTGCCATCATATCCTTTTTCGCAATTACCGCTTTGCGCTGGTGATTTGGGTTAGGTGTTTGCCCAAAATTAAGTCGACTCTTTATTTTTTTTTTTTACAAAAAAATCGCAAAACGCACTGTAGCAAAAAGTTTGTGCGTGTCTGTGTTCTGTAAGTGTTTGTAGGCCAATTTGCCATTGATACAACACGAAACTAATTTTTAGACACATTTATGCTCAGGCTCGAGAGTAAAAGATTTGCTCCTACAAACTGCATTATGTCAGTACAAACATATTATGTAATACTTGTGACATGCTGTCATCAACGTCATTACCGTAAGGAGGTAAAAGCACGAATACGGTTTTTTGCAAAAGCACAG